GCCTTCAATTATCGCCGCTCTTCGATTATACTCTGCATTCGATCTTATCCGTTCGGACATTTTGAGGTTATGCGCACTTACTACAAACATCTGACTTGCCCGAACATCAACAGTGACCTATCACCGAAGTCAAATGAGGCGGGAAATTCAAATTGAAATTTGTCCGGATTTTGATGGCGGACCCTGTATACATGGGGAGGGGCTCCGCCTCTCTTCCCGCACTCTTTCCCCAAAAAACCTAACCCTAACCTAACTCTATTAAAATATGGTAAGCAATACACGTATATGCATTTATATTCTTACATTGTTTTTCATTGACAAATTATGTATAAAAATATAAAGTATAGGTTGCACATATACGTGTACTTTTTATCATGTTTCAGTAGATGGGTTAAGTTAGGGTTAATTTTTGGGGGAAAGAATACGGGGGGTAGGGCAGAGCCCCTCCCCTAGGCATTTACGTGTTTACCATATTTCAATGTATATTGTATACCAAAATTACGTTCCGTTTATAAAACTTTTTTTGTTAGTAACTTCTTATTAAACAATAAGCGCCAGTTAAAACTTTTTGAATGTTACTCAAAACAGTGACCTTGACAACATATGTTAAGCTTAAGGTCATTGAAGCTCCCCTATACCTGATAATTACCTTATTTTTTCATAAAGAATCATGTCGTGCTGGCGTTACATTTTATTCGGCCGGACCCTATATGTTCTGCGACTCTTCTATTTTTCAGATGAAAACTCACCATTGGAGAATCCCAGGGATCTCCACAGATGCCACATTTTCCTTTGTTCCGTTGCCACTGTCTGGTAAAACCGCCGCAATAGCATTCGTGGTCATTATAATCATGTGGTGTATCGAAGCCGTACCTCCACATAGAGGCTCTCGATGGTGGCTCTATCAGTCTTCCATGGGCAGAAACTTTTCTAACGACTAGTACGTTTACGATTAACATCAGACTAAACGCGAAGAGAGACATGATAATCGCGCAAAATGAGCCGTCTTCTGCAAAAAAAAGTTGTTTTGTAAACACGTCAAGTAAATGATAATAAATCGATTACAAATTCAATATCGAGAAAATACGATTTGCATATGTGCTTGAATGTGCATTTGAATTTGAAATTTTTCTTTCGCTAGCTAGCTGTATAGCGCGTATTAATCCTTTAAACTGTAAATCGTTAATTAATCTATATCAATTATTCACGTTATACTAACATGTATTAGCATCGTTCAAAGCTAGGTATATCGATCATATTATCTACAAAGATATAATACGCCGTTGTAACGCGTAGCTGTATAATATTTATACAAGTGGAATTTAATACTTAAATTCCACGACTTTGTATACTATTTTATTTACTTGTAAATTTACTTCAATACAAAAATCATGCAAAATTAATTTTTAATTTATATATATGATTTTTTAATTTATTATGATATATGTATGGTTAATTACTCGTAGATGTTTTCCGTTCTTTTATCATATGCATTTTATCATATGTATAGATGGATAATACTTCATAAATGACATTGTTACTAAATATACTATTGGAATTTATGATTTTATAAATTTATAAAAGACTCAATTATAGAAGCGGTAGCTACAATACTGTATTTTCACGTCAACAAATATAATGTCTCAACACTTACACCTCAAATAATCCGTTACTCTTATAATAACGAAAAACTGATTAACGAAGTTGTACGGTTCAAAAGAGGAAATACAATAACGAGATTTTTAAAATATCAAGGTTATCTTAAAAGTTATTAAGGTTAATATCAAGATTATTTCAAAGTCATCATTTTAAATGGAATTGTTTTAAGTAAATGACGTTTTACCGGATTCCAAAAGGATTCCAAAAGGAGTTCAACCATGTATAACATTGTGACCTTCAGATAACTTTGTGCCCCAAAATTACGCAGAATGACATGGCATGATCAGTAAATCTTACTATTATTTATTTATTCTAATAAGTGTTCAAAATATCGACGTCAATATATTTTTATAAACATTTGATAAACAAGTGTTTGATTGTTGTAATCATTTGTAGAGTAATATTAGAATATGAAAGAGCGTATTATTAATACCTTGAGAAATATTATTTCACAAGTAATCGCAACGGCGAGGCATTTGATTATCGGACGTTTACCGGAAAATAAGTGGGATATAAAAATTAAATGGAACATTCTATATATTGACAGAACCGAGCAGAAGTTTGACGATTTTTCTTAGTACACAAAAGCTTCACACAAATGCTTCACTCAAAAAGTAATTGAGAAAGACATATATAAATTATAACAAGTAATGATAAACGATATAACGTGTGTTATGCAAAATAAAATGTAAGAAGAAATAATAATCAAGATTAAATAATTAAGACTCTTCAAAATGTCCGAATAAAATCTTTTGTTATTAAAGTTCTTGTAGTAAATTGTCACATAAGCATTAATCTCGCCATTTAATTGATCTTACTTTACTGCGACTCGAGAAGATAGGACAACATATAAACTCGTTGACTTTTCGATTTCTATATTAATTTCCCAGACAAATTCTCAAGAGGGGTGAATAACTTCTCTAGAGTAAATAAACTATATATATTCTTGAAAATTATATATAACATGCATTTATTGTCTTAAACAAAAACTTATAACTTCAAAATCAATTTAAAAAATTCATAAAAATTATCAAACTTTTCTAGTAAAATTATAGGGCGAACGACTCGCTGTACTTGGGAGTCGAAAAATTAAGACATGAGATTCGAAATCTATGAGATACAATGACGAAGAAGTCATTAACTAAACCAGTTGTTATACTTCTTACATGCTAAATTATTTCAGATATTGAAGAAATATTCATGAATATTTGAAAGTATGAATGCAAACATTTTATATTAAAGATTAAAGAGTTACGATAAACTTCCAATATTTTCGCCAAGTATAATCAACGACAATTTCCTTAACTTTTTCGCTGAACTAGACGCGGAATCCCACCGCTAGACGAATAATTCAGCCGCTCAACACATATAATAAAAATATAATTATTACATTTATAAGGCTATTTCGTTGATATACTATATCACAGAATATCACAGAATGAATTTCCCAATTTTATTGTGTATATATATTATTAAAACAAATAAGAAACAGTTTTCATAGCAAAATACTCTCAATGTATAATACAGATAATAGTCATACGAAAAAATTGCTTATAAAAAAATTGCTAAAAAACCAATATTGTTTCAAAACGAAAGAATGCAGAGTTGTAAGTCACTGATATCTCCGTTATAATTAATACAACTTTTTATTCCACACACATCTCTACTTTTCTGGCTCCTTTATTAGGTTTATCTGCGTTTCTTTTTCGACGTCCTATTCAAAGATATGATGCACGACACAATCACGAGTAAAAAATTGTAACTCAATTGTATATTTGAATCACGCATTCTTTACATTTACCAGTTGGTGCGAGAGAAGCGAAGGCACCACTTTCCTATGACACTATTCTCTCGCATCGGTCGTAACGGTGAGTCAGACCCGTGTGGTGAACAGAGTTCGAACCTCGAAACCGGTCACGCAACGACTGAACTCCACTTTGCCTCTGGAACCGACTGAGCACACTCCGATGCCGATCAACGGTGGGAGTAGGTCATTAGAACGAAGCACTCGTTCACATTTACGGCACGGTCCGATACTAGGTGAGAATACGATATACAGGTAGTTACAGGCAATTTAATTATCCGAAAATATTACTGTGTGTGACATTTAAATTTGCGCAAATTTGGACTATTTATCTTGGACTAGGCGCCGCGAAACTTTACAATATATTTTCCTCTTATTTATGTTATATTAAAATTATAATATCTAAAATATACTTAAAAAACTAAAATATATATATATATATATATATATATATATATATGCTTTAGGATATATATATATATATATATATATATATATATATATATATATATATATATATATATATA